AACATATGTGAATCATTTTACTGCTAAAACTATTCTGGCGTTGAAAACTGTCAGGAATAAAGTCTAAATCCTGCTTTTAGTGAACCCTGTGCCTTTAAAGAGCCGCCTGCCTGGTGTGTGCTGCCCAGTGGTGTCTCAGTGTAGTGCTGCAGTTGATGGATAGGGTCCCACTGGGGGAGGGAATTCAGCTCTATGCATCCCTCCTGCTCCTTTGTGAGTGAAGGGGGTGAGTGGGCAGTGGGAACATATTGTGTCACAGCTAGCTGGATGCAGACAGGGAAGTGACTGAGGGACGGGTGGATGGAAGAGTAGAAGGGTAACGGCACGGACCCAACGTGGAGCAGCTTCCCCCCCCAGGCGGTGTGTGTCCCGTCTGAGTGTGGAGGTGATACAGCTGTAACACAGATCAGCAGTATAGCAGCACAGGGGGCTGGCCAGAAGAAGGCTGAGAGAGACGTCAATCTTTATCACATGCATGAGCGTCCTCAAACATACTGCTCTCATTCTCCCGCACACTAACACCACAGCCTTTGTGAACTCATGCACTGTTGTCCAGATGACGGGGGGGGGGGCACCCCTTCACAGCTGTTAGGGACAGATTGATTGCTGTGATTGTTGTTGGATGTTGGATTCCCCACTCTTCTCTGGCTTGGTGTTTCTCATACACACATCCAAAAGGTCTCAGGTTACTCTATGTAATCATTCATCTGTGAAATGTGTGTAATACAGTGTGTATGGTTGTGAGATGTGTCCTTTATATTGATTTATTTGGTGCATTGTATTTCCTACACACACAGCCATAGAGCTTCTGTGTCAAAGGGCAGGCTGTGACCTTAGTACAACAGGAAAGCCCTGAATATGTAGGCAGGATAATGAAAGACGGTGGCACCCAGCTTTATGATACACTAGAAATGCTCTGCTGGTTGAGTCAGTAGCTTATCTATGGAAAGTAGGGCTGCAACTAACACATGTAAATGGACTTCATTTCTATATAGCGCTTTATCCAGTCTTTACGACTCCTCAAAGCACTTTACATATACAAATCCGCATTCACACACACACACAATCATACAGAGGCAGAGACTGCCATACAAGGGGCCAACTGCTCCAGCTGACATTCACACACAGTTGGTCATGACATCGGGAGCAGTTTAGTCAAGTTGGTCAAGATCAAGGAAAATAATGATACATTGTTTGCATTTTAGTTCTGGTCCAATTCCTGTTTGCATAGATCTTTTACAAACTAACAAGCAACGACATAACGGACATTAGCGTTCGTGGTAATAATAGACTGCATGTTATAAAACATGAATGAATGAATGTCATTTATAGATCAGTATAAGATCCCTTCATGATCAGTTTAAGAACAGCAGATGGATTTATTACAGTACGGTTGTTTGGTCCTGAACATAGTGGAAGCAAAACTCAAATCTAAATATATTCATGATACATTGTTTAATGTACAAAAAGGTAAAAGTATAAGAAAACAATTGCAATTTATTCTGGTCGAAGTTAAAGTCTTTTCGTTTCTTATGTTGTCTGACCAACAGTCCACAGTCCAAAGACTGTCAATTGAATGATTTGATACTTTATTTGTCAAGTAGCATGACTTATACAACTTAAAGGATGCATCTCTAAAGATATGTATTCATAAGAATGACTTTATGATTATTTAAAAGTGGTTAAGTTAATGTGGCTGACATATCTTGTTTAAAAAATATCCTCGCTCGCAAATGTTTACATATAAATACTGTTTGGTGATTATTTTTGTCTAACAGTTCAGGTGTTAAACTGACTTTAAAGGTAAGGACAGACACACTTTCCACATCCTGCAGACCAACACACAGTGAAACACCACAGTAAAGAAACTATAAGGAAAGCACATCTTTAAGTGAGGTTCACTTTTACCATGTCTGACATCACTGTACACTAAAAAGAAGTTGAAAACAGAGCCATAGTATTTAGACAGCATCAACTTGTGTGGTTTTAAACTCTCCATTAATAGTAAATGTGTAAGAGCTGGAGCCTCAGTGTGGTGTGTGTGCGACAAGACGAGACAAAATGCTAGGTTGTAGATAAACCATATGGAAGAGCAGGAGCGAGTGGCACAGTGGGAGAGGCGTGCGCAATTCAATAAAGTTGTTTTCCTGGTGTCTGGCAGCACACTGTAGCATGCAGGGCTCACACAGTGGAAGAGGCTATGGAGAGTGAAGTGTCAGAAGAGATTCAGTTGTCTTAATACTAAATAACCTATGAAAAGGAAAAGTAGGCAACATTTCAAGAGTGTCTTCTTTATGAGAAACACATGGTTGTTAATGGAGACGAATGTCTGTTTGAGAACAAACAGTGCGTCTGCGACTCAATGTAAACAGCATGTGGACGGGGTCAACAAGTTCACTAAGGACTATTATAGTACTAATATTCAAAATGACATAATTGTATTTTCTAAAGTCTACTAAACAGTGATTGTGTTTTGCACAGCTGTTCCATCCATGATCTAGTTATTGTAGAAACAATAATAAAACATGTAGTCCACAGAGGTTTGACAAGCCAAAAGAAACACAACAAAACAGCTTATTGCAACAGTACTGTGCAGAGAGGTGCTTGTTAATAGTACTCTAGTTAACTAGCCAAAAAGGTGTTTTGTGAAGTCACAGTGACCTTGAAACCAGCCAACTAACCTACCGCCACACTTTCTAGAGTTCTGAATCTGAACTTACAGAGGCATACAGCCCAATAACATGCAGTACTGCCTTACTCTATTTCCTTTAAGGGACCCTGCATTATACTGTGTAGTACTCACCCCCCCGGAAACATGATACACTGTTTGTGTGATGCAAGTTGTTCTAACTCATTCACAGTGAGTTCCCATAGTAGATCAGAGATAAGGAAACGCAAAACAATGTTAGAATCCGACACATTAACCTCTTTCTTACCAGACATCAGAAAATGTGCAACACTTGCGAATAATATGGAAAAAACAGAATCAGAAGAAAATACTGCCACAGCTCTGAATGCAGGCTCCCCCCCTTTGGCCTTCTGTGACTGTGAGATCCTAATGTTTCCACAACAAAACTTTGCCTGACTCAAATTCTCCTTTGGAAAGTTTTTTTTATTATGGAAACGAAAGAATACGTCTTCCAGCAGAAGGACTAACCCTGCACTCAGTCTGTAAGGCTCCATGTAGAATGCAGAACTACTGGTGGACATTTAACACAAACAACATCCTAAGCTTTACCAGGTGAACCTACAGTTGGCAGTACTACATATCGTATTTCAACTAAGCATCAATGTCATCATTCATTAAACATGTATGAGTATTTATAGCATGTCAGAATGACTTGGGCCTAATACATTTGAGACCACTTAATGAAACAGACAAACAGGCTCAGCCCACAAACATGCTGGGCTGAGACAAGATTTGACATAAAATGCACGGATTGACAGCAGGAACAAACACAGAATAATGAATCGCTCAACAACAACTAAGATGTTAATTTTCACTCGGGGCTCTATCGACTCGAGAGGAGAGGCAGGAGTCGTGCTGAATAGTAAAACAAAAGAGCAGCAAAACAAAAAGATGGGGCTACTTGAAAGCAAAATGACGAGCACAAAGGGTAATACAGTCTGCTCTGTGGCAGTTTGAGCACAGCTGGGATTACTCAAGGAGAATCTACTGACTGCAGACACTTTATTTGAACTCAACTGTTTCCTTAATGCATGCAGGGAAAGGATAGATGGTTTCTGTGGTGCAACCTTTGCTGTTATATAGACAAACAACCTGCAGGGGAAGCTCATACTGTAGTGGTAAGGTTTTCATGAAATGCTCTGCCCTTCCAACAGCTATGTGGAACACATTAAGCTGACTGCTGACCCCTACTGGTTTCTTAACACAATGACAGCATTGTCTATGTGAGAAAGGTGCAATCTTCATGTTATAGTGCTGCTCTACAGTTAGCCATCTCCACATCCTTTACAGTATAATCAACAGAACCAATCTATCTAAAAATCTATTTAGTACAATTTGCAAAGTACTCCAACATCCGTTATTTCCCATAATACAATTCATACCCACTTCCTTTATATCACATAGCTTCAGGTTGTGATTCAGACTCTGTTCGGTTTCCAGAGCTCCTCCCAGAGCCACAGAAGACAAAATAAAAAGATGTCTACACTCCTTTTGATGAGTAAACTCAACTTAACATGTACAAATGGTAGTGTCCATTTCATTGAATCTACAATATAACATTTTGTCAACTTAAAGACGTTCAAATTGCTTTTTTCCAAGTTCAGCTGATAACGGTATTTCAATGCTTGGGAACACATATTTGGAGATACCAAACATAGTTAAGGGAATGGAAATGAAAAGCTCTATAATGGCAAAAGGAGATGAGAGAAAGTTGCACCAAAGTGCTGCTGCCAGGATGAATTGTGTGAAAGTTCACAGTTCTATACTTGTGAGCCGACAGCCATTAACCAAAGGAAAAGCAGGTATTTTGATGACATTTGAACAATATGAATAAGATCCTACATCAGCTACTTGTTTGATTTGCAGGCAAGTAGCTGTCACACCTACAAGATACAGTCAGCCACAGCCTCAGTCAGCTGAGGTGTGTGAAGCAGGAAGGAATGAGGTCGTGCTGTGTAGGAAGATATCAAACGAATGCAGAATCATCAACCATCTCCGTGACAGCAACAGCTAAAAAGGAGGAATTTCCTGACGTCAATTAGAAGAGACGAGTCATACTTCTTTCTTTGTGAAAATGATCTTTCCAACACTGCAGGAGAATAACTAGAGACACCCCAAGTCTTTGAAAAAAAGTACTGTTCAAAGCTTTGTCTACACACTTCATACAGCCAGTTCCATTGAAATTTTAAAAGCAATCAGCCTAGTCCATTCTTCAGCATTTTGGATGTATGCGAGTGCACTTTAAATAATGTGGTGACCTAATTTAGGAAATACGTTCCCACAAAAAAATGAAGTGAGAAAAGTTATTTACCTGAATTGTGCCGAAGTCTACATTTTCATAGTGGAAGTGAGCGCACTCTGCCAGTTTGGGGAAGTGGCCCTTGGTGAAACAAAGTCTGAAAGCACAACAGTACACAGGTTATTGGAAGTTCATCTCCTGCTCATGAGAACACCTCAGAGTGTGTATGACTACAACAAGAAACACAGTGGAGGAGGAAGACACAGAAATAGACTCAGGGAATGGAGACTCAAGCAGGAAGAAGTCGATACAGAGAGTTAAGAGTGATAAAAGGTGGAGGAGAGAGGCAGGTGTGTGAATGCGTGTTTTCTCGCCTTCCCTTTGTAATACATTTTGATTAGTAGGGCTGCACAATTCATTCACATTTTATCGAAATGGCAATATTGACTAGTGCAATATTCAAATTGCAAGAAGCACCATTTTTGTTAAAGACAGAAGATGTGTTAAAATACCATTTTTATTAAGACTTAACAAAACATTTATTTGGTTAAAATCCTCTTAAAGAAAACACACCATCATTATTTTAAATCATTTCTCAGATAATGTCATGATGAGAATGAAGCTTAAAAAAAATGTAATCCCCAAAATGTGAATAATTTCACAAATAGTTGTAATTGGTTATTTATTTCAAACTGTTCAGCCCTATTCAAGTACTTCACTTACTTCTTGACATTCTTGACCTTCATGCTGGCCGTGCTGCTGCTGCAGGAGCGCATGAGGGGATCCGTCCTCAGCTCAGGGATCTCTGCGCTCCTCGCCTAAAAGTAAAAAACACACAAACGTCAGTGATCCGGCTGCTGCATACAAATACATCTGCGCCCTGTCTGTTGGAACAGCAGAGGCAGTCACATAGCAGTAGATCCTGTTCTGTTGGTTGTAAACAGCTCTGATTGCTCACTGTAAGATGAGATGTCTTCAACTGTTTGATAACCTAAATATATGAGACAGTGAAGTGGTAAAGTTGAATCAGAGGAGCCAGGAAATGAGCGGTGAATTGAATAACAAAGTTGTATGATATTGAATTGATGACAAAGCAGTGCACGTTTGTTGACACAGCACCAGGGGTTACATTGTTAAAGTATTCATTTATGATGACAGGGTTCTGCAGCCAAAGCTATCCCGATGTTATTTTACAGCATATTAAAAGCTCTTTTAAATAAACAGTTTGTCTTGCTTCATGCAGCTGTCAACAAAACATTAACAATGAGCTTGCTCCGATTACAATTTTCATTTCATGTCATTCTGCAACACAGGGTTGTACATTTAAATGCAATTTCAGTCCATTTACAATATAAAATGGGTGCATTATTGTGGTGCATTTTTTGTGTGTGTCAAGAGCAATGTAAACAGCTGCGACAAAAACAATTGATAATCTGCTAGGAGACCTTTAAACATTTAAACATCAGCCTCAACATTAAAGATCTCCTATCATGCTATTTGTAGGCATATATTATGGGTCTCAGATATATACAAATATATAGAAACATGTCTATGATGTGTTTTGCTCAAAATACCAAACAGATCGTGCATTTTAGGCTGGTGCCCCACGAGGACGAAAACGGGTTGTATCCGCATATTTCTCTTGTGTATAGCCCTTTTTGCCACGAGGCCGTAACTAAACGATAGAAACGGACCCCACAAATGACAACGGGTCCAAAGGTGGATAGATCTGGGAACGGAGCGCTCTGGGGGGGTCCAACGGCTCCGTGTGATCGCCTCTATACGATCATTTTGTGATAATGATGACGCAATAGCCCTGCCTCTCCCCACCTCTGCTGCTCACCCCCGCAAAAGTACACTGCGCACTGAATTCAGATTATTTATCTTTATCTCGATATGGACATAAACGCGAGTGAAGTCTAATCTGACAGGACGGAGACACGCAGCTCCTCCAGGAGCAAAACACACACTTCAAGTCAGATCATCACCCTTAGCTATTTTAATTACCTCTCAAACTACCTAAACTAGTTATAAATATGTTTATTTTTTACTGTCGGGTCACTCATTACAGGATCAGCTGCTGCATGAGACAGACACTGACGCCGTCAGAAGAGAGGAAAAAGAGACAGCCTCCGTGTATTTTATTATTATATATAGTCGTTATTCATTTGTTTTAAAGCTCAATAAATAACAATGAAGACCTTTGACCGGCACTTTTATAATTTTGTCCGGAAGATTTAAACTTTTACACACGTTGACCGGCGAAAAACTCTGCCCGGTTCCCTCGGCCCCCACCACGGAGAATAAACAGAAGGGCAACCATGCTTCTTCGCTGCTTTTGTGGAGGAAGTTACAGCGCCACGTACAGGCTCGGCATATGTACTGCAGCTTTTTCCAGCGGTTGGATCTAAACGGAGCTGTCTCGTGTGAACAGACACTATCCAGTGTATATTGCGTGTGGACGGAAGCTTTTTTGCGATTGCGATTGCGTTAATCCTATGCGTTTTGCCGTATGCGTTCCCATGGGGCACCAGCCTTACCCCTAGATTCCACCGGGTCCGTCTGCGCCGCGTTGCGGTTTTGGTCCGGCCTCCTCCGGCGTCATACCCTACCAGGCGCGTTTCAGAAGCATTTCAGAAGCGGAGCGTCTTGCCTGCCGGCTCGCAGTTTTTGTTGATTTGGGCATATTTCCTGGACAGGCTACTTTGTACAGACAAAGTTAATAATAACTGTAATATTCCAGTTATAAACGACATGAATCAAAGATGTGTTGCTGTATTTTAGTGGTAAAAAAATGCATTCATCATCATAATTATTCTATATATATAATTTACACAGTGCCTGTAAACCGGAGGAGAACGCTGGCATTTCTCCTCCTACTTGAAAGACTACGGAGGGATAGGGTCTGCAAAATTAGTTTGTGTGTGTGTATATATCTATATATATATGCTATATATGCTCTGAAAGTTCCACTTCCTGCCTGCCCGACCTTACGTTACGGCTGTGCCGCGACAAAAATAGGATTCGATCCTAATTTTAGAGGAGCCCTGCGCCGAGCCGCTTCTGGGACGCTTCTGAGCCGTAACGCGCCGCGTGTGGTGGAATAGCACCCATTGACTAGAGTGGCCGCGATCGCCGTGAGCACTGCGGCGCAGCCGTAACGCGCCCCAGACGGACCCGGTGGAATCTAGGGGTTAGACATCCCTTATATGCCTCTGTTTCAGCCCTGTTAGAGAACTGCTGATTCTGGGTCTGTAGCTGCTGGCCCCGCCCCCTTTTGAGCACGACAAGGCAAGCAGTGAGGTCTCCTCTCTGCCTGCAGATTCCCAGCTAAATGCTGCCGTGATTAAACGCCATATCATGTTCCGAAAAGGAGAGAGGGTTTTATTTTCTGACACTTTGTGAGTTCCCTGACACACCAGGGACACATATTTATGTATAAAAGACATCAAAAAGTGCATTTTGCATGATAGGACACCTGTAAAGCAACAAGCATCATTGATGTCAACACAGAGTCCTGCACTCTGTCCTGTGCTCAAGGAGCTGGACTCCACTCCATCAAGATGCAAACTCAAAATTCTTAGACGCTGCTTTGCTAATCTGGTTCTTATTTCCAGATTTTATTTCTAACAATTTAGTAGAATAAGTAATGAAGAAAGAAATGTAATTTAGCCACAGATCTCCACAAGTTGTGTCACTCTCAGAGCAAATTAAAGAGCGGGGGAGAAATCAGGCTGAGGATTATAGAAAATGTTTTCATTCAAGGATTGATGCGTAATCTAATTTGCGCTTCTGATCAGCCTTTTCTAGAGACCACTTATGAAAGTATTTAGGGAGAAATCAGCGAAACTGATCAGTAGTCGATGGATCAGAGCACCCTTCATTTATAGAGCCTGATCTATTAGGTTTGATGTTCTAATAAAGTGAATATCTCAGTCAGACATAACAAGATATTTTATGACATCTAGAAATTGTGATAACCATTTTTCTCTAATTTCAGAAATGTTAGAGAAGGAAGCAATTCATCAATCAATTTAAAAGAAATGATTGGCAATATAATCAATAATGAAATAAATAATTGGCCACAATATTTGTTCGACAGCTTGCACTAAGTTTCTTCGCTCTTGTCATCCCTCCCTGAACCACCGGAGACATTCATAATGGATGATCCTCTGGTACAGAGTCCCTCTCATATCAAATATTGAACAAAGAATAGCAGACATGCAGTATTGAAGCCCCGCCTCTGTGATCAATATTCATCAGGCTGGTGAGAATGTGGTGTCTCTTTCTCTCTGTTGCCCGATCGAAGTGAACACTTGCGATAGGGCCAACCATGCCGACCACGGGTGGCTCGGTATGTTACCATGGAGACGGCCTCATTTTCACAGTGCTGTTGATGCAAGAAGCGAAACCCACACCAAAGATGGGAGGGAAGGAAATAATGAATGATTCTGTCTGCTGAATGAAATCCAGTGTGGAGGGACTGAAATAAATAGATGACACAGGAGTACCCAGACAGGAAGATGACTATCTATGCAAAGGGTTTGGAAGGGGGGGGGCTTTCGAACGGCAACTGTTCTCTGCATTAATCACGAATGTGTGGTCGTGTTTCAGGAACAGAGGAGATTCAGTTTCAATAGGAGAGAGACAAATCAATCCACTGGGTTGGAAACAGACTGATAATATGGTGACGGGCAGCAAATAAGCAGATTATGGCGTCTGGTGTTATCACTGCATGATCGGACATGTCACAACGACACTCAGAGCTTCAGGTTACCAGCAGCGATGAAAGCAGGACATTGATGGTTATACTGTATTTATTCAAAACACGGGCCATCTCCATCTCACAAAAAAGAAACGTGAATATCACAATGACCGTGTTTGAGGTATGTGTGTGTGTGTGTGTGTGTGTGTGTGTGTGTGTGTGTGTGTGTGTGTGTGTGTGTGTGTGTGTGTGTGTGTGTGTGTGTGTGTGTGTGTGTCTCACCATGGCACTGATTGTCTCCTCCCAGTCAGGTCTCTCTCTGGGATGGATGTTAGCCAGTTCAGGCACAATATCGTCGTCCTGCAGGTGACGTCCAGGTCTCAGGCCCCTACAGCAAGCACACACATTGATATGGTCATTATTTTGTTGGTGAATCAAATGGGAAACGAGACCAACAACATTTCTCAGAACCCATTGTTAAATTGCTTGTTTGTCTAACAGTCCAGAACTCAGGAGATTTCACTTAAAGAAGTTCATATAATCACGCAAGCGATTATTATCAAGTAGCTGCAGATGTTCTTTCATTCGATGGACCAATCAACTCATCTTTCAGCTCTGGCTTGACATCTAAGCGAGCTGGATATGCTTCTAGTTTTTCCCCGTAAATGTGAGCTTCTATAATTAGCCAATTGACAGAAAATATGCTTTTTTCAAGAAAACATTCCTTACTTACTTAGAGCTTCTCACATTTCAAGGTGTTTCCTTTTGCTGATTTATCATGGAAATGGAATCTTGTAATGTTAAAAAAAAAGACATCTGAAGACAGCTGTGTTTGGCATTTTTTACCCATTTTTGAACATCTTTAAGCTTTATGATGAATCAATTTCTAATGAAAATTATCATCATTTGCAACCCAACTGTGACAGAAGATATTAAGTGAGCCTGCCATTCTGCCTGATGAGAGAAGATATTTCTGTACCTTCTTGGAGTTTACCACAAGAGTTGTAGTGTGGGCGAATCAATGAGCAAGATAATGTGAGGGAACATTGTAGTGTGTCTAGAGGCTGCAGGGCCCAGTGCAGGACCTTTTGAATGTGATGTGTCTGGTCAAACAGGGGTAGAGCTAATGATGAAGTGCCTAAAACTGCAGTTCATCAACTGGCCACTTGAAGCTGCCACCAAAAGGGAGCAATCCCCCAAAACCTCCATGTTGAAATCCCCATATTTCCAGCAGAAATAAACATGTGTACAGCATGTTCTCTTAAGCCCTATTCCCTGTCACGATAATTGTAGGTAGGTGGTGGTGGTGGGGGTTATAAACTAACCCATTTGAATTATATCCAGGCATACAGTTATGCGTTATCAGGGGCGTGGCCTCTTTGAGTAACAGGTGGGGGCCTTCTCAGGTCGTTAACCAGTAGCTGTCTGCTCTGCTGTGACACCCGCCTTCGCCTCAATTTCACCAACAACGCCTATTTTTAGTTAGATGGTGGCGTCACTGCTAAGATGTGGGACAGCTGGAGGCCCCCACTTCACAAAAGCTCTTCAGAAACCTATGGGTGACGTCACAGAGTCCACGTCCACACTTTATACACTGTGGTGTATGTAGAGACCAACAAAGGAAATGAATCCAGACAGAACATTGGAAGAGTCCATGAAGGTATATTTAAATTGCCTTCATAAAACAACTTGAAGTTGATGAGACATCTCTCTACAAAAATATTTCTCATCAACTCAACTTCAAAGACTGCCACTGTATCCAGAGAGCAGCAACAACAGGGATAGAAATAAACAGGTTTGCATAGCAGCTTTCACAACACACACACACACAGGGTGTTTCTCAATGTCGAGGACGCTTGCTTGGTAGCACATGTCTTCCGAGTCACTTGCTTCAGAAGCGAGGCAAGAATCCTTCCTAGTCTCGGAAAACAAAGAATTGTGGAACAGGCTAACAGGTGTGCATGTGTGCGTCATATGCGAGGCCCCGCCTTAAATGGAGCGCTATTTCCGCCAAAGATTTGGAAATTGGTCCGTGCGCAAAGCATTGTGGGGATTTTAAGACCGCGGAGTCTACACATGTGCAGCCTCGAAATTTCTCGCTACGAAGTACGCCGGCCTCGGTAGAATTCCAAGTATGCTGGAGATTGGAACAGTCCTTCGGCGGGACTCGATGACATAGTATGCTTGAAATAGTGGCTCTGGAGCAGCCTTCCTCGACATTGAGAAACACCCACACACACACTCTCAAGATTGATTTTTAACCATCATCCTGAATGACGCTTGATGGGGGTAATAAACTTGAAAAGACTACAGAGGGAATCGAAAGAGCAAAAGATCTCCGTTTGGGGAGGATGTAGCGCGTGGTGCCGCTGTAGACGACAGTGCTACAGAAAATGCTAAAAACAAATATCTGCATTGATATAATTGGAGTTAAGGGCCAGAAAATCTGAGCCAAGATGCAGGAAAGAAAAGTTCAGTAAACAGCAATTCTCTTTACTTCGCCTAAGTTTCTGCTCACTGATCTTATTTCATCATTCAGTCACATTATGCCAATTTTCTCAGCTCACAATTTTGTGAAAAGGAGTGCCAGTGGACCCTAGTGTCACTTTAAGTTTAAGTTCAACTTGGTTATCTAAGAAAATTAAATTGAATACATTCTTTCAAATCCAAAAGGTCATTTACATGAGATAGATTAGAAATGACCAGGTCAGGATGAAGATACATGAGGGCAAAGAAAGTGCTACAACAGATAAACAACTAGAGAATGCAATTCCTGAAGAAATTGCTAGTGGGAATGCTTTATGCTGAAAATCTGACGCTAAACTGCTATGCTGAAATGTAATGTGTAAGAAGAAAGTGAAGAATTTAGATTGAAATGATACATGAACACTGGGGGCTTGAATGTGTGATGAGTGAAGAAAAGAAAGTAAAAAGGCTTGGAAAAGCAGCAGAATATTTGAACTGCAAACTTTTGAACTAACTTGATGGCGAGTGGTATGTCGCCATGGCAACGGCATTTGAGGACACCCCATAATACGCTTAGATGCGTTGATGGCTGCATTGTTACCAAACCTGTGAAATGTTGGGCCGTTTGGAGCATTTTCACTGAAGTTATGAGAAAACCATGTTTCATGGCGAGCATTGTGTTGCCATGGCAACGGCATTTGAAGAAATCTCAAAACTGTCCCGTAGATGTCTTCACGGCTGGACTGTTAGCACACGTGAAGTTTGAGCACTTTTTGAACATTTTCATAGGAGTTATAGCAACATCGTCTTTTATGGCGAGGGATGCGTTTCCATGGAAACGGCATATGGTGAGATCTGTTGAGGCATGGACCGGTGATATACAAGTGAAGATTGGGGGACGATTGGACCGTGTCCATTGGACTTACAGCGACATCGTGGTTCATGGCGAGTGGTCTGTCGCCATGGCAACGGCATTTGATGACACCCCATACTACGCTTAGATGCGTTGATGGCTGCATCGTTACCAAACCTGTGAAGTTTTGGGCCGTTTGGAACATTGAGAGAGAGAGAGAGAGAGAGAGAGAGAGAGAGAGAGAGAGAGAGAGAGAGAGAGAGAGAGAGAGAGAGAGAGAGAGAGAGAGAGAGAGAGAGAGAGAGAGAGAGAGATATTGAGGAAGATGGAGAGAGGAAGATATTGAGGAAGATGGAGAGAGGAAGATATTGAGGAAGATGGAGAGAGGAAGATATTGAGGAAGAGGAAGATGGAGAGAGGAAGATATTGAGGAAGAGGAAGATGGAGAGGAAGATATTGAGGAAGAGGAAGATAGAGGAAGATATTGAGGAAGAGGAAGATAGAGAGAGAGAGAGAGAGAGAGAGAGAGAGAATGAAATGAACAGTTTGAACTGACTCTTGATCGCCCTCTCTCTCTTCTCTTGAACGGCATATGATGACACCCCATAATTGACGTAGAGCTGTTGAGGGCACGACCATTAACCATTATCTGAAGTCTGCTGCTCTGAGCATGTCAGTTGGAGTGATGACATCATCGTGTTCCATTACACAGGTGATTATAGTTGAGCTAACGAGCTCTGTAGAGATCAAAGGTTTGCATTGTTCTGAATGAGAGATAAACCTCTTACATGTGAACGTTTTGTGGAAGAACGATAACAGATATCTGTGAAATTTCAAAACGTGAAGCATGTCAAGGAAGTCGAGTATCTGAAGTGTAATCTTTGTGTACTTTCGGGTTAATAATGTGGCCTTTTTGGCAGTTTAACTAAAGGTGTGCGGCTGCTGCTGTGAGGAAATATCAGCCTGAAATTACAATGGGTTTTAATGGAGACATGTTGAACGTTTTTGTCACTTCATGCCCTCAAGAGGCATTTTGTTTAATTATTTTTGCTCAATTATTTGTCCTTTTTCAAGCTACGAGATGTTTTCCTACATTTGTCATGAAAAATGATGTCTCAGGAATGTAGGGTTTGGGAATTATGGCAGTTCTAAAAAAATATATGAAGGCAAATTTCAAGATTTGCTCCACTCTAGCTGTGACATCACGCACTCTAGTTAATGTTAAAATCTGAAGAAAACCTCTTTAACAAGGTCTGAACAATGTTTAATATCTCTAAAAGTAAGATTCAGATTTAAAAGTTATGTTACACGAATAATGTCAGAAAGATGTGTAACATTTTAAAGTTGGAATGAGGTTTCTGAGTGAAAGTATGAATGAACAGTTAGCAGTTGAAGTCGCATGAAGATTGTTCAAGTCTGAAGATTTTCTCCATTGACTTCAATGGTTAAAAATGTGATGAATTATGGGATGTATCTCTGGAATTATGAAAGTTATGAATGATAAAAGTAATAACCTGCGATTCCCGACCGAGCTGAACGTTTTGATGTTTGAACGGAGTTTCTGCGATGTTGAATGTGGGAGGAGAAGAGGGTCAAAATAAGTCGGCGGAATAATAAAAATGTTGTCCGTAGCATAACATATAGTGGGAATGCTGTATCAGCATTCCCACTAACTAAATACACGTTTTTTACTCTTTACGCGACACTCAAATCAAAATGTTGTGAGAATCCCACACCTAGTGAGCTATAATGAGGGCTTCATCATTTACCATCAAACTATCATTCGAGATTGATATCAACATCAATGCCTCAGTGTTTGGAAGGTCAAAAAAGGCAGTCACTTCAGGCTTAAATAATATGCTTGCAAGACAATAATGCGCTAAATATTTACAAGGGGGTGGAGAACAACATTTATCACTTGGACTCAACATGCGGGTGATTTATAATAACTCCATGAAGGGGATATTTGGCATGGAATGAATTGTGGGACATCTTTTGTTTGTTTACGCAGGCAAACAAGATAGTCTGTGTTATTGTTTTGAAGTGATGGGTGTTTCCTTTGTAGATGT